GGTGGTCACGGGCTCCCCGCGGGCACACGGGAGGAGGGTAGGAGAGCAAACCCATGTCCCTCCTTGCAGACCCTCTGAGAAACTCTTGCTCCATCGCAGACATCCAGCGGTGGGGGGATGTCCCGGACTGTGGACACCTCGAGGTAGGGCAGCACTGGTGGCTGTCACATATGGGGACTCAGAAGAGGATCTCAGCTAGCTCAGGGCTCAAGGGCTGGGATCTTTTGAGGAAGACAAATTCCTGCAGCCCTTGGACGCACAGTCCCAGAGAGATGATTTTTCATGACTCTCTGTAAATGATCTGGTTTGAAACCAACACGGGTCTTCTCCCAAACTTGTCCCCGTGCCTCTTTCAAGTCAACAAAGGGCCCAAAATCCTTGTGATATCAGCGTGCTGCGGGGTTACTCTCAGGCCTGGGAAGAGGGGGACGAGGAGGCAGGGCAGGGAGCGGGCTTTTACCTGAGACAACAGCGTGTTGGGTTCCTGACCTTGGTGTCCATCCATCAGAGCAAGGGCAGGGAGGCCACCGGGTCAGCTGGCTCCACTCTGACCCGCCGTACATCCATTTACTCGCAGGCTACCGGGTAAAAATAGTGGGGACCAGACAAGGACACACTGTGGCTTTTGATGGGAAAAAAAGTGAGTGGCCGAGGGGAGCTTTAAAGAGGCATTGACCCCGAGTGGAAACCGGGGTGAAAAATGACTTTGCTCCCATCCTTCTGCTCAGAGCATCTTTTTTTTCCTTTACTGCCATTTATTTTGCTTACGCAATCAGATGCTAATGCTTTGGCGTGCAGCGGAGTCGCTTGCGTTTTAAGGTCAAAATCCCGAAAGTTTGTAAATTGTAGTCCTTTAAAAAGATCAGATGCGTAGAAATAGTTTATACATGCGGAGCCTGGTGAGAGCAGGGTGGGAATTTGGCTGGGAGATGAACTCGGTGATGTTGGCCTCTTCGTCCGTTTGCCGGTGGGTTTTTCTCCCAGGCTCCACGGCTCTCAGTGCAACACCTAGGACAAGTGGGGCGGTGGGTTTGGGGTAGATCTCCCACCTAGAGATGCAGCGCTGGCTCCCGGTAATGCCGGAGTTGTTATTATCCTCTTGTCGTTCTGAAGTCCCGTCCCCAGGGATGTCAGGGAGCTGGAGGGAAAAATAGGGGTCTGGTTTTGCCAAGTGAGCCCCCAGATCCCTCCTCGCTTTGGAAAACTGCAGCCAGATGAATAGATGTCTCTCTCTGCCTTCCCACCGTGCGAGGCAAATAACTTATCTCTGCTCTACAGATGCTGGAGATGCCGGTGACATAATTTTTCAGAGCGGCTGTGACTCCTGGTAGTACTTAAAAATCAAACCATAACACCCTGCCCGGTCTCCCAGGAGGAAAATCAAATGCAGTTCCCTGTCAGTGCAGCGGCAGCAAGAGGGAGGACATGGCATCTAGGCAGCGAACTGCACGCGGCAGCCGCGTCGATGAGGCTTTAATGGGCGTCGTAAAAACGACACAGCGAACCCAGGCTGGGATGCAACGCCGCGGTCGCCTGGCTCCCGCTGCTGTGCTTGCTTTTTGGCTTAAACTCCTGACATTTCTCAACCGAGCTTAGGTGTAACAGCTGGCTTTGGTGCTGGCTAATGCTCCTTCCCATACATTTCTGCCGAGCCCGCCTGCGCGCACGCATGCATGCGTGTGTGTACTGGGCGGACGGCAGGAGGTACACGAAAGGAGACGTTTTATTTGCGGAAGATTTGATTAAAATCTTGGAAAGAGGTTTCAGATGGCAGTGAAAGCTGAAACTGGGGTGGGGGGGGAGCTGAGCCGGGGTTGCTTTTGTTACCGAAATTCTGCTTGGCTCTGACCTTTCGGCATCCCAAACTGAAGGCAAAGGTCTGCGGGTGCTGGAGGACATCACCAGAGCTCCATTCTGCTCTCTGGGAAGTAACTCCCCTACGCCCAGGAAAGTTGCATCAGGCAGAGCTGGGTAAAGCCCATCACGCTTCCCGGACACTCAGAGATTACCAAAGAAAATCATATCGAAGTAAATTCAGTATCTCAAAACCGGCAGAGGCAGAATTTAGATTGAAAACTGTCCGTCCCTCCCATCTCTTTGAGGTCACACGGCTAAGACTTGTCCACAAACACGTATGCGGAGCTTTACAAACACGTTTACTTCTTACACGTGTGAGCTTTTTCTATAGATGTGGGACACTGCTGACTAAAATAAGGCTTCTGCAAGCGTTAGCAGGCTTGGGGCTTTTTGGCTGTTTTGTCTTCTGAAGAAATTTTAACTAGTAGCTACGGTAGAACAGGAAAAAAAGTAGATGATGTTTCAATCCTAAATCTGCCGAGTACAACGTATTTTGAAGGAGAGGCCTTGAAATGCACATTTTGGTTTACTCTGGTGTTTAAATAGAAACCCTCCTCTGGCACTTTGCTTTTTAAACTATTTTTTTTTTTTTTTTAAAAATTTGAAAATAGACTGTTTGCTTCTCCGATGACCTCTCCCTGGGAATCACTTTTAAGTCTTCCCTGTTTTGACATGTTTGTGCAGAGCTCAGCGTTCACCTTACTAAACCGAAACCTTACCCCCCGCTACTGAAAAATTGATTCGCTGGGTATGTGCAAACCCAATCCCGTGGATCCTGCAGGAGAAGACTGGGGGGATCGGGGATAGGTACTCGCTTGTATTGCAGAGGTATAAATACGTTTTTGCTTGCGCCTCACCTTGCCCTGTTGCTCTTCGTGGCTTGCTTTAAGGAGGTCATCTCTGCACAGGTTTTTGCAAGTGATTCAGTGTAAAAATCGGGGTTAGAAACGTTTTCTTAGCCGGACTCTGACTCATCTTCCCATCGCACCCGGGAGCAGTGAACTGCCGTTTAACCAGCCGGCGGAGGGGAGCGGATTCCTGGGTGGTCCCTGTAACCACAGAGCACAGAAAGCAAAGCATTAAAATGTAACATGAGGATGAAGGGAAAGGGGCACCGAACCACTTTCTCCCAGTGTTATCTCAAAGCAGCAGATGGAGAACAGAGATAGCGAGGGTGGCTGCTCATTTTTCCGTGCCCTCTCCAGCCAAATCCAGTAAATAATGAAGTGTAATTTGCCAAATAGCCTTTAAATGTATTATTTGCTTTCAAAGGCCCCGATATTTCCACCGTGGCAGGGAATCCTTGATGTATATGGTGGGGTTAGGGGGAGGAATCACATCCTAAGAGGCTCAGTGATGGGGATTTTACTAGTCCTACCTGAGCAAAGAGTTGTGCAAATCATTACGTGAGTGCCTCGGTGACTGACGTTCGAGAGAGGGAGTGATTTTGCCTGATGTCTTTTATTTGGGGACAATAGGGGGAAGGTGCAAAGATGGGAGACAGACAAGTGGTTCTGTTTGGTTTGGTGGTGGGATCGCATTTGCTGCATCCCCCTGATGATTTGGGGGATGCTATGCGGCGTGGTCAACCTCACCCCGTGCTGCAGAGCTGCGCGTGGATGCTTATTGATGCAACCCCCAGATTCCCACTTGCGAAAAACCCCAATGTTGCCTTGTTCGGACCTTAAACGATGCCTGCGAGTTTGGCTGGGGAGGACTTGAGTGGAGCGGGAAGCCCAGACTGGGTGGGACTGGAAAGCAGTGGTGTCGCACAGGGATGCCCGTGCTCGGCAGCCGCAGCGCTGTCTCCAGCCCTGACTCGCCGTTGCATTAGCGATGCACTCAACGTTGCTTGAAAGAAGCACTCGCCAGGGTTTTGGAGGTATAATGGCTTATTAAATCAGAGCCGAAATTAACTTGGAGCAATAGTAAGCCGAGGTGGCTGGGATTTCCACAAAACAGAGAATTCTTTGACTTTTGGTGTCTACACCCAGACATTCATGAAAACAGCAAAAGAGCTTGCGCGTGGTGTCATTTTTCCACTGAGAACAGTTTTCATTGAAAAATTTCCAATAGGCTCCAGTGCTAAAGCGGCCTCAGGTGGAAGATTTACACATGAGACTGATACAGTTCAGTCGTTGGAGATGGTGGTTGTACGAGGCTTTCCTTCTCTTCAAAAGATGTTTTTCAGGAATGCTTAAAATACATGAAAAAGAGCCAAACCTTTATTCAGATCAAGGAGGTCTGGCATTTGTTTTTTTTTTTTTTTTTAAACGGTTGCTTTTGTTTATGAAACTCTGTGGCTACAAATATCCGCCTCCTTCCAAATTAATTAGAAAAAGGGAAGAGCTTTGCTTCTCACCAGGACTTACTCCAAGGCCCAGCTCTTGGCTTGGCCCCGCGCTCTCCCATGGGGGCGGCTGAGCATTGTTCAGTGACTCACCCCGAATCGCGTCGCTCCATGCTATGGGCTGCGCGTGATGTAACTCTGTGCTAATGTGGGATTTTCCAGCTCTTTGTTTTCTCTCCCTCCTTGAATGGGTTTTCTGCCGGTTCTTCATCCTGCCTCAGCCTGCTGTCAGCTTACTTTTTCCAGGATTGCCTGCGAATCTTTAAAATTAATTTTTTCCTTTTGCTTTTCTTTGGACTGGAATGCCCAAAGCTGGAGTGGGAGTTCAGAGACGCTTTTCTCCCTGCTTTCTTGTTCACCTTGGTGTAGGACTCTTTACCTTCATTGGCCTCTGGGGCTGCTCGGCTATTTCCCAGGCTCCAGAGGCCACCAGGGGTGATGAAGCCCAGCAGGCTGATATCTGGAAAGGTCTTTGATATCACCGTCAAAGTTCCAGTAGCGTATTCATGGTTGGCTTGTAAGAAGACCATGTCACCTACCCTACCAGACATGGCTTGTTTATGCCCTTTAAGTACAGGCTTCTTCTAAGCACAAGATTCTTTTTCTTGTATTTAAGAAGGCTGCTCATGGACTTGTAGGGTTTAGGTGTAGGGCTAGAGGGTCTAGGTGTGAAAATTTCAGAAGAAAGAAAGATTTCTCTGTTCTTCTGACAATTTGATAGCCAACATGCCTCCTGTCATCTTTCCCAGTCCCATGCCCTTACGGCCGTTTTTCTCTCCTTCTTCTTTCAGATATGGAATGTGCGGACGTGCCTTTATTAACTCCCAGCAGCAAAGAAATGATGTCTCAGGCATTGAAAGCCACCTTCAGCGGCTTTGCCAAAGAGCAACAGCGGCTGGGAATCCCCAAAGGTAAGACATGTAAGACATGGCTTCCCAGTGAGGAGCCGGGGCAGACACAGAGGTCGTGTCCTCCTGCCCTTCTCCACATCTGCCATCTCTTTTGTTGATTCTCTCCAGGTAGTATTGCCTTGTTTCTTGGCAGCTTCAGCTGGAAACATCTGGACATACAGGCAAAACCTTTCAGTACTCCTTCCATACTACGCCTGTCTGACAGATTGTGCCTGTCTGTCCTGCTGACTTCTGCTGGATGACCTCTTTTGCAACTCTGGGGACCTGCTCCTTTTGGAGGCAGCTCCAGGACTTGTATTTACAAGTCGTCTCCGCAATACGGAGAAGCAGCGGGGACCCTTTACAGGAGACTGATAAGAAGGAGAAACCAAGTGAGATAGAGAAAACGGTGGGAGAAAGGGTCAGAGAAATGGTGGAATTGTTAAAAGTCCCAAACAAATCCAAAGCTCGTTCCTTGTGTGATGGGCTGATCCAAACTATAGGTATGGTGTTCCACCACGTTTCACCCTTATGCCAATGGACTGTCAGTCTCTCTGGGATGAAATTCTGCAGGTGTTTATCCACTGGGACAGCTGTAGCACTGTTTGTGTCCTGTTTTCCTGGGGAAATGGCTTGTGGTTGCTCATTCATGGATCTCTTCTACAACCCCTTGGTGCAGATCCCCAGCAGTGGACGGAGACGCACGTGCGGGACTGGGTGATGTGGGCGGTGAACGAGTTCAGCCTGAAGGGAGTGGATTTCCAGAAGTTTTGCATGAATGGAGCCGCCCTCTGCGCCCTGGGGAAGGAGTGCTTCCTGGAGCTAGCGCCTGACTTTGTGGGAGATATCCTTTGGGAACATCTGGAGATCTTACAGAAAGGTGAGTCCTGGAGTCTCCAGGGTGAATGGCTCATGACTGGCCTGATTTTTGGGCCCTTCTGAAGACCTTGGCTGGCAGCCTGGCTGTGCAATGAGGTATTCACCTTAGGCTTTAAACCCAAGAAAAGCAGCTTTCGAAGCCCAGTTTCCCAGTAGGATTTCAAATGGGCATCCCAACCGGGAGCGGGCAATGCAAATCCTGGCGCTGCTTGAAAGAGGAAGGGCGTTTGCGCCGGCCGCTTGGCGGGAATCTACAGCGGGCAGGGCCACTCCGCCTGCCTGGAAACCATGGTGGGATTTTCCAAAGCATTCTTCCTCAGCTCGTTCAGCTCCCGTTGTGAATTTTACTACTTCCTCTGGCAGAACTGGGTACAGCGATACCACCAAAATCCCACCCTAATTTCCCAGTTGTGATTGGAAGCCGCTTTTCTTTGTTTCATGTCCCAAAAGGTGTAATGGCATTGTGTTAAGAGTGGCCGTGTCCCCCACAGGAGAAGCCATCTCTGCCAGTCCCCGCATGACAGCAGTCCAGGGCATTAATTTTCAATGACTGGGGACACACACACACGTTGATTTTGGGTGTTGATTTTCGTGGCGTCTGGATGCCCAAGCAACACTTACCGGTTTCTAAATGGTTTCTAAAGGGCGGGTGAAGAGCTTCACGCCTTTAACCGAGCCACAAGCAGGGGCAGCGGCAAATCTGAGCTCTGTCTCTAGCTCGGTTTTGTGCAGAGCTATTTGCTTTCCTGGAATATCCCTTGCGCTGTCATACCGACCCTGCGTGCTTCGCAGCGGGCCTCTGCTGGTAGCAGGAAGGGGAGGGGGAGCAAAGTTATGCCTTCCAGGAAGCCATTGACAAATGGATGTTAATTGCTGATTACTAATTTTACTGCTACCTGTGGTTTGCAGAAGGTAAACACGGCTCTTCCCAGGGTCTGGGTACGACGGGCTGTTTTTCTGCTCTTTGACTCTATATCTGTTCTGTTCTTCTCGTTTTGCATAATTTTTATTGGGTGCTTGTATCAACAGCAAGCAGTTTAACCAAACAAAGCAAAACGTTGCGGTCAGTCCAGTTTCTCCGTGCTGTAAGCCACGGCTTGTAACGTAGCTATGCCTTCCCGCAACCCTTCTTCCTTCATTCGTTTGGGCTCTGACCCGCTGGAGAGGGATGCGATGTGCTGCAGGTACTGACTGAGGCATCAGAGCTGGGTTTGCAGCTCCTTCCTGCAGATTCCCCAAGGCACGGAGATGAACTCGGTGCTGGAATTTCACAGTAAAGTAGGGATCATGTTTCCGTAGAGCGTTGACACACGCGGGCGTTAGGATGCTGCAGTCCTGAGGATGCAAAAGGCCTGAGACAGAGAGGAGCTTTTGCAAAGAAACTGGAAGTCTTTGTGCCTGTTGCAGCTTTTCTTCCAAAAGGACGAGAAAGAATTAAGCCGAATTTCTTTGTTTCGACACTGTTGGTGTAGCCCTGGGAACCAAGAAGTCTCCATTCTGTGTTCAGTTTTACTTGTGACTTTGTCACCTCTTGCATAAGCTATCGGAGCCTTAGCTTCTATGGTGGGTTCTTTACACATTTCCCAGAAGGGCAATATCTGTGAAGTATTTGGAGAGTAACTAAGAAGAGCTTCCAAGAAAGAACCAGCCTCACCCCAAGGACTAATTTCTGTTCCCTGTAAGTCATGGGACTCGTCTTACTGGTAGTACATCTCCAAATCCCTGACAAGATCTGGGTTCCGTTGTGCTCGTGCTGTACAAACATACGTGCAAAATTCTCCCTGTCGCATCTCTCCCTGTGCGAGAGGAGATGGTTGTCTCCACTTTGTGGCCGGGGATGTCAAGGATCAAGGTTTCCCCAGGCTCACCCATCTCTTCCATCTTCCCCAGCCACCCACCATCATCGTTTGGGGGTGCTGATGCTGGGAATGGTGGTTAACCCCCAAAATGTTTGGCTTTACCTATGCCAAACATCGCAAACGATGCCAGTGCAACCGCTGGCATCGGGTCACGCTGGGACAGGCAGTGACCTTGCTGTCCCTCCTGCTACCATGCGTCCCTTGCGAGTGCTTTCCGAGAGTGACTCATGTACCACAGGCTGCTGGGGGGTTTAAAAACGGCAGCAGATGGGCGACTTTTCCCTGCATGGATTTGGATATTTTCAGGCATATTTTTCCAAATTTCTTCCTAAAATAACCTCTTGAGTTACCAGCAGTCAGCAGTGCCCTCCACTTGACTGTAAGCATAGCTGAAGGTTGTTCTCTTTCTCTGTGGTCACCCACCCTGCCCCTTGGCAGACACCGTGGGGAGAGCAAAAAAGCGTTTCTCATTAGGTCTCTCTGTTTGCACAAAACCTCCTTTTGTTAGAGAATATTTTCCACTCTGCAATCCCCAGGAGAGAGGGCCAAAATTAGGCTTCTTGCATACGAATGTGCGTTATCTTCGGTTCGGTCCTCTTTAGCCTCAGCAGAAGTAAACATAACCTGGAGTTGTCTATGTGGGTTTTTTTTTTTTTATTTTTTGTTTTGGTTACCCTCTGCAAAGAAAATAAAATCTCCCGTGCCGGTATCTCTGCCCACGTGCCGTGCTGGAACGAGTAAGGTGTTAATGGAAAAACTGGTCAGGGTAGGAGCAATGTGGCTTTTACATGGGAAAGCAAATTCGGCGCCAAGCCCAGGAGTACCAAAGTGCTCGGAAAAAGCAATGGAAAGCGGAGAATCTACGCTTTGATGTAATATGTGCTCTTTCTCAGGGAATTATGCCTATAGAAAGGCTAAAATTTTGCGTGCTGCCCATATACACACCGTGGGGTCTGTATCAGGAGTTGGGTGATGGACAGTGCGACGAAGCTTTTTTGAGCACAGATCTATCACCTGCATGAGGTGGAAGGTAAAAGGCGCTGCGTAGGCTGGGAATTAGCATTAATTTGGGGTTGTAGGAGCTGGTTTTGGTATGCGTTACCCACTCACTTTGCACACACCTACTGCTGGTCTAAAAATAGGGGCTTTCTCAGGAAAACAACTGTCCCTGTATGGTGGGGTTTTTTTCACGAGCTTATACATGTAAGCGTGATAAGCAATCCTGGAGAGACTGAAAGACGACAAAAATTAAGGCAAGCAAGGAAATTATGCAACTAGTATTTCAGAACCACCTGGAGCCCCTGATTGAGAAAGTTGTTGCTGTTCTGTTTTGGTTTGTTTAAATTTGGGCATGCCTGCAGCAAGAACTCCCGAAGGAACCCAAAGCGCATCAAGCACTTGTTTCAGTGGGATTTTGGCTCCTAACTAATTTCTGTGCCTTTGAATGTCCCAGTTTAACCCGGAGAGGAGCATTTTAGGAAGTTTAGACCTCTCTGCATTACAGCAAGTCTCGCGGATTACGATATGCCTATGGACATGTGACATTTCCTTCCTTTTCTCTTTGCAGAAGAGGTAAAACCGTACCCAGCAAATGGAGTGAATACAACATATCCAGAATCCCGCTATACTTCAGACTACTTCATTAGTAAGTCTCAATTATCAGTATCGTTCTGGTGCCTCCAGGCATGAAAGTGCCACCTATTAGAGGTTTGTCTGCCTCACGTGAGGACTGCACCATGCAGTTGTTACTCTGTCGTGGCAGAGCATGCAAAGTATGTCATTTTGTCTTTCCTAGTGTTTTGGGTTTATTTAGAAGCCGTCTTTATTTTTTGGGGGGGACTGCCTTGAGATGCTATAATCTCACTTTGCAAGCACTGTTGGTTTGAAGCTGTAGCTCAGTAGACCTGACAAGCGACCTCAACACCCCAGAACATTCGGATTTTTAAAAAAACTTATTAAAAAAGGGGGAGACGTGGGGGAAGAAGGCTTAATTCTGAATTGCTAGGTAGGAGCCTAGCAAGGAAAGAGATGAGTCATCAATCTAGACTCCCGTGCTTCCCGTTGCCATTGGTTTGGAGATGTTCTTTAAAGGCATTTGAAATCTGTGATGTATTTCCTGAACCAGCAAAAAAACCCCCCAACCCAACTCACCTGAATTGGGGTTCCAGGCTCTGGCCAGTGAGGAGAAGTGACTGTGGAAGTGACTCACCTATTACAATCGCCAATTAATCTTCTTTGCCCTATATCTCCTTTGCTGAGACTACGCTCGTCACGATTTTCCAGCTTTTTCCCACTAGCAGCTTGCTTGAGAGGAGTTTGGCATAATGCACGTTGATGATGGTTGAGGATGTCTTATTTGTTTAAATTGCTGCAATTATAAGACACAATCTCTCTGTAGGTTTTAAAAGCCTTACTCAAAATTAGTGCCCAATTGTTCCAGGTATTTTATATCCAAAGACAGCCTCCTCTCCCACTGCGGACCTCAGATCTCAGTGTGCTGTGGGAAGCTGGAGGGGGAGTGAGCAACTCTCTGGTTTCTTTGAGCTGCTTGTGTTTGGGTCGCTTTCTGACGCTCCCGTTCTACCGGCAGGTTATGGCATCGAGCATGCGCAGTGCGTGCCTCCCTCTGAGTTCTCTGAGCCCAGCTTCATCACCGAGTCCTACCAGACCCTCCATCCCATCAGCGCGGAAGAGCTCCTGTCCCTCAAGTACGAGAACGACTATCCCTCGGTCATCCTGCGGGACCCAGTCCAGACGGACTCCCTGCAGACAGACTACTTCACGATCAAGCAAGAAGTAGTAACGCCAGATAACATGTGCATGGGACGCGCCAGTCGAGGTACAGTTGGGCATCTCCCAGGGTTTGCTTGAGTTCTTGCCACCTCTACCGATATCAACATAAGCGCTGCCTTCCCCTCTGTAGGAGATGTACTTTGGGGGGACCGAGGCCATTAGGGCACTGCGCAGCGCCAGGAACAAAGCCACATATCTCACGAGGCTGAACTTCCAGATGGATCCCCTGATGGCTTCGAGCCCTTTTCTTTTCTCTACTCTGCTGCCTGGTTTTGTAGCAAAAGTGGAGCATTGCTGGCTCTGTACTTTGATGTCAAACTTGAGTGAGGTTGAGATAGGCTTTAAGGTTATTGGGGGACACAGACTGCTGTGTGGTTGTATAAATCTCATTTTCCTAGGAGACCAGGCAAAACCCCACAAATCCTTCACAAGTTCTCATCAGGAATTACTGGCCAAGGCTCTGAAGTGTTTTACACTTGATGATCCAAAGTCTTTATCCATCATCTCCATTGACATTGCTGTCTGTTTGCTTGAACTCATGATCTGTTCTGATGAAGCCAAGCCCCGTGCTTTGTTAGGAGATGCAGATGTCATGGGTTGAGTCAGCGACAGAGCCGAAGGACCCCCCGAATCCTTGTGCTACATCTCCAAAGAGTTATAGGTACATGATTCCCGTTTGAGATGATGGGATTTTAACACCTAAACACATTTGAGGATCTGAGCCCAAATGCCTTTTCAATTAATATTATTAAATTCTGAACACATGGGGCCCAGATGCCCGACTACTCTGTAATTACATTGCTTAATGCAAGGCTGAGGATCTGGCTCACAGTATAATATATTCAAAGCAAAAGTTTAATCCGTAGAGCTCAAAGTCACTTACAAAGGGGTATCGTTATCTCCTGACTCCAGGTAGGGAACCTGAGGCACGGGGAGGAGATCTGACCTGCCTGCGATGGTGCCCTGAATAGGATCCAGGTGTCCCCAAACCTAAAATTCATTATAGTAACGTGTTGCTGTGAGCCAGGTTTGATGTTGAACATTTAAAGCCAGCTAGGAGAGCTGAAGATGTGCTGGTTCCCTGTGAAAGCCGGAGCCCCGTTGCAGGTCTGCATCGCATGTGTGTTGCCCAGTGGAGCTCATTTTAAGTTCCTCATTCTTTTTCCAAGCTGGGAGAGCTAATGACAGGAGAGTTATTATTTGTATTATTACCTCTGCTTCTGCTGCTGGCTGAGTGTTAATATGAGAGAGGTGACTTGGACGATACGGTGAGCCAAAAGGGCAGCAGTGTTAGAATTTCACGTAAGCTCCTCTTGCTGGGGTTGTTTTTCTGGCTGTCTTTCATCGGTGTCTTTCCCTTTTCTTGACCTTTTCTTTAACATAGGTGATTTCATAATAATTCTCACTGAAATGCAATGATTCAGGCGTGCTTTTGCAATTGTACCTTGAGCCTGTTCTCGCTGGCAAGCCTAAAAAGGCTCCAGGGGAGGGAAGAAAGCGCCCTTAACTCCGCAGTGGGGACCAAGGGCCCCTGTGTTAGCAAACCCTTGAACGTACTCATTGCAAGTGAAGAAATGCAACGGGCTACGGCCGTGCTTACACTAACGCGACATTTCAGCCATGTAGAAGGGACTTTGGGTGGCATAAATCCTCCCAGAGTGGCATAAAAAAGCCTTACTGTAAAGCAGAGTTCAGTTTATTTGTATTTACGTACATCTTTACCTTCATCTGTATTCAAAGATTAGTCTGTCGCAAAGTCAAGTGCTTCAGCAGTGGGAAATTCAGGATGAAGGTTTTCCAGACAGTCTCCTTTTGTCTTTCGTTGTGGGGGCTTTAGGAGTTAATTCTGTGGTCCCGTGGGAGTTTTTTTTCACTCGGCCTTATCACTGAGGACGTCTGGTTGGAAAGTGTAGTGGCCAAACCCTTAACAAGTTTCCTCTGAGGAGGTGCAAGGCGTGATTTTTCCAAAGGCTCACATTTAGGTCAAATTTAGGTGAATTTTCAACGAAATGACCCAAGTCACGTCTCCAACACTGCGGCTGTTCATCTGGCAGATTTTAAATTCCTTTTCTAAACGAGCTTGTGCTGCGGGACTTCTCAGGGAAGTGGTTATGCCAATTAATGAACATGCACAAAGCGGTGTTAATTTTCCCCTTGCAGGATTCAGGAAGCGCTTGAAGTGTATTCTGTGAAATTCTCAAAAACCTAGAAGAAAAAAAATTAATCAAAAGAGTTTGAAGCATGAATATTACCGGCAGAATCAAGGCGATGGGTCCAAATTTCAAATGATTTCGGGCCAGCGATCGGGGCAGAGCCCACGGTAGTTGAGTCTTTTCGCAGCAAGTGCTCTTCAAACTACAACACAACAAATATTTGGGGGAGCGTGCCAGCGTCCTTCAACGTTCCTGTTCCCCTGTGATTTACTATCTGGGCCCAAGCTGCGGGTAGCTCTGCCAATGGAAATTTCTCCAGGAGTTCTTGCACAATCCCAGCAGCTGTTTTTAGCCCGGTTTGGGAAATTAGTGAACTTGAATGATCCTGTTACGCTCTTAGTTTGTCAGTAAAGATGTTGAGCAATCGGCAGCGTACGGGAGATCAGAGAGAGCAATTTCAGTTTGTTCTTTGGAGCCTTTTTTAGCTCTCAGTTTTAAGCACAGAGGGTACACTTACGCTGTCTCTAGTGGGTGTAAAGCAGCATAGCACTGCTGAGGATCTGGCCACTCGTGTTCTGGTCTTTACTAAAAATACCCCCGAGAGTAGCCTTGATACAACCCAGCTGTGCTCACCTTACCAGAACTGGAAAAATAGCTGTTTGAGCTCTCAGCCTTTTGCTCTCCTCCTCTGTCAAATCTGCTGCTGTTTGGGGATTTGGGGGTGGAAGCTGGTTGTAACATATGGCAATAAAAGGCTGCTGTATAGTTTTGGGGGAAACATCAAAAGGGAAGAAGCGGAGTGTCCAGTGCCCTTGAATATGCCTGAGCAGCATTTATATAGGGCTGGCAGAGGTAATATGGGACTTACTGGAGACCCCTATCTTTCAGCAGCAAGAGCAAGAGGTCGTGGCACTTGAACCGAGCTTTGAATATCTATCTAAAGTGAATTATTTCTCTGTATTGCCTTTTTGAAACAGAGGACAATTCCCAGTTTGCCCCCGGCATCAGACTTGGGTAGAGAGTCAGGACTTTGGGTTTTTCCCTGCTCTGGTGCCTGAACATCTCCGGGGCTCAGATAGCCCTGCTCTAAGTTACGAAGATAACAGAAGTGGCCCAGTTTCAGGCCGTACTTTCGAGTTTGTTTGGTGGGATGGCAAACATTTGCCTGGTTGCCTTCTGCCTGCACACCAGGCCGACAAAGTGCTCTTCTCCTGGCCGCGGCAAGCTAGAGCATCCCCGTGCTGGCCAGGCGCATCTCACATACCTTTCCGTCTCGCCAGGTAAACTGGGCGGCCAGGACTCCTTCGAGAGCATAGAGAGCTACGACAGCTGCGACCGGCTGACGCAGTCCTGGAGCAGCCAGTCCTCCTTTCAGAGCCTGCAGCGCGTCCCCTCCTGAGTAGGGCCCGATTAGAAAGAGTGCAAGCCTGTCATCCCTGCTGCTGCCCTCGCTGGCTACACAGGTAGGGTCACACTCCTCAGGAAACCACCTCTCTGCTGAGGGTCTTGGGTAGAGCCTCTCCATCGGTGGAGGGCAGAGCCTCCAGGGTCTCTGGGTTGCCTCAACGCCTGCGTCGCTGGCTCAGTGGCCTGTGAGTGAGGAGTTTTGGGGTGCCCCTGGGCTCAGCCACACGCATGTGGGCACACCTGAGCATATGCAGCCCCCCAAGGCTGCATGTCCTTCAAGCGCAGGCACTCCAGACCTCGTGGAGGATGTAGAACGTGGCTGAGTGCAGAGCATTCGATGCCTTGCGATCCATTACGCCTGGACGCCTCCTGGTTGAGTCTGGTAGGAACTGGTGTCTGGTTCGTATTGTTGAGAGCACAAGGTAGTAGAAAGCCCTCGTTTCCCCCCTCCAACGCTTTTATGCAACGTGCGGGGCACTTGCTTGTGGTTGCCCACCTCAGGCAGGAGCGGCTTCGTTTCCAGCATCGCTGTGGGTGATGTGAAATGATCTTCTCCCCTTTTGGCATGGAAGAAGCGCTTGGTTTTGCTCTTTGGTGCGAGGCAGGGATGGGACGGTGCCAAAGCAGACCCAAACATTTTCCATTCCCTGCGCTGGGAAAGACGAGAAGGTGATAGGCCACGGAAACTCTGGGTTTTTATATGACAGCCCTCCAGCAATCTGGCATCTCCATGGAGTGAAACCTGGTGGGATGGGGCTTCCAGCTAAAACTGAGGTAATCCTTTCCAGTCCTTCTGTGCCATGGCTTTCCCCTGTACTATACGTCAAATTTGGAGGGTAGCCTCCTGCCAGTTCCCCTTTCCCTCCTACAAGCTGATCCATTCTGCCCCAGCTGGTAGCAGCTGTGGCCCAGAGGAGCCAAGCGGTGGAAATAGTTTGTGCAGATAACGATCATCAAAAGGTTCAGAGCAGATCCTGAGGTGTGACTGTCCCTGAATTCTCCTCCCACACACGGCTCATCTTAGGGCTGATATCTAGTTTTTTTGTAAGGGGGGGAGAGATGTAGAGGGGAGGAGAAGTGGAGAGATAATTTTAGGAGCTACGTGTAAAAAAGGAAGTGGTTTGTTGCTATAGCTTTAGTTAGAAAGAGAGCTCAGCCCTGCCTGCTGAATGAGCCTGTTTCGACCAAGTCGATGCAAAAGAAAAGTGTGCTTTGCTATTCCTGAATGGTTTTCGGCTGGGGGATGTGGTGGGGAGAGGCGTGAGTGGTAGGAGGGGCTGTGCCCCGAGACGCCGTTCCCCGCCGTGCCACGGAAGCTGATGTTCCTAAGAAAAGAGAGCAGTGAGCACAACTTGCAATTTTAATTCCTATTTTCTCCTGATAACGCCTTTCACTACGGCCCGTGGAAGTGTTTTTGGGTACCCAGTGCCTGGGCAGGAGCGTTGGTTGGGTTTTAACAGCTGGGGAAACTGAGGCACGGAGGCACTGGCAAAACGAGGAGCTTTATTTTCCAAACTGGATGTTTCCCTTCACATTTGCTGTAGCTCATGGAAAAGAGCCGCCCCCGTAGAGAGGCAGCGTTCCCAACTCCCTCCACGAGCGAGGAACCGAAGTCGGCGGCTGGACCCCGCGTTTTGCCAAGGAGTATTAGCACCCCAAAGAGTGTCCTTGGACTCGTGCCGCCAGGAAGGGGAGACTTCGGTTAATGCAGTGCCAGAGCACACTTCCAAACGCTTTACGCTGCATAACATTTTCCCTTGCCTCATTTCAAACCCCGTTTTGAGCCGGGAAGATAATCCCTTGGCCCGGGCATTTCGCTGTGATCAATAAGTGGGAGTGCCTGATTTTTTTATTTATTTTTTTTTTTTTTTTTTTTCTGCATTGCTTCACTTGAGAAACTTTAAATGGGGAGAGGAAAAGCAGAGGTTTCCAGAATCAGCAGTCACTTGGAAATCCTCAGCCTGGAGCGCTGCTTGCGTGCTCCGAAACCTGCTAAGCAGTAATTCGGTACTCAAACCGCCACAGCCCGCATTGGGAAAGATCTTTGGACAGATGAGCTTTGTGGACGTGTGACTCCAGGGATTTTAAAGCCTTTTTATGTCCCTTTTTGAAGCCTGTCAGCACCTTAGGTTTTCTGGGCAGAGGGAGCCCAGCACGGGTGCAGAGCGAAGCCAGGTTGCCGTGAAAGCAGGTCACGGCGAGAGCAAGTGAGAACACGTTGCGTTACAAACCGGAGGAGAACTGGGCACTCTCAAAACTGCTTTGTATCAGTGTATTTCTGCAAAAAAAAAAAAAAAAAAAAAAAAAAAAGAGAAAAATGCAGGCTGGCCACTGAGAAGTGCTGGACTTCTTGGGCCAGCTGAGCAAGGAGCGCGGGGACTCTCAGGCAGAACTCTTAGGTCCTTCTTTTTTTTGCTTTGCTTTGCTTTACTTTGACTTTACTCGGGGGAGGAAGTGCTGTCTACCAGCTAGAGCAGAGGAACTTGAAGCCTGGGCTCCGTTTGCAGCACTGCTGAGGAGGTGGAGCCTCCAAACGAGCAGAGCGGGGGATTACCAGCCCAGAGGCCCAAAGCGCCGGGACCCCTCTCTACTCAGATGATGCCTCGAGCACAGGTCCGACACCACTGGTGACTGGTGGAGCCAATGGAGCGCCCAACAGATGTGCACCTTTTAAGGCTGGAAGGGTGAAGCCTGGGAGATCACGTCCTTCATCTCCAGGGCTCTCTGCGTTGACTTTAAGAACTTGACAATATCGTTCAGGTTTTGTTACCAAGGGCCTGTTTTGCTGGTGGCCCCGGGGAGGTGGCACAGCGCTTTATCGCAGCCGCGGCAGATCTCTGATGGTATCTGCCCCAGGAGGCGCATGCTTTGGTGAGAAGGTGCATTTTGGCGGAAGCTCCATTTGCGTTTGATGTGTTCTTCACCCAGCTCGCAAGCAGCTTTTCAAAGCTGCGTTATCTGCCCCCACATCTTGACCTAATTTAACAAGTTGCCATGGTTGCTCACATAGAGGTTGAGACAATTTTCTTATCTTTTTGGAAGGAGAAATGTAACTGCTCAGGAGTTGATGAACTTCAGTTTCCATCGGTGCAGGGAGGGTTGGCTCTGGACACCTCTGGTTTGGGGGTCAGTTCTCTCAAAACTTGGCCAGCTTGAATCTTACATTAAGCCAGATGTTTTTTTTGGTCACGACCTAGGAAACGGAGAGAGAATGCCTCTATTAAATGTCAGCAAGTGGTGTGTCAGGGTGCATCTTCTCTGCAGGCAGATGTGCTAAACCTCACCTTGGCTTAGCCGAGCTCAGTTTAAGCTCTCTCCTTCATGCAGCAGCGCAGTGTTTGGTGTGGGTGGGTGGCTCGTGCTAGGTGCACGCTGGCACACGGGCATAGATCCCTCCATACCTGAGCCCAGCTGGGCTAAATCCAGCTCAGCTTTGCCTCCGTGCCACCCGTGGCTGTGCCGTAGCTGCATCCTGCGAGCCGCTGCCTCCGATGGGTATACCGTGGCCACCAGCATCCTTCGTGAGACCTGACACCACGCGGATAAATGCAGACGGTCTGTAGCAGAGAAGTGTGCAGCCCATGCAGAGGGTCTGACCGCATTAGTCTTCGGCCTTTCTGCCCTATATTCGTTTTTCCACTCTGCTGACCTACTTGTGCTGCTGCCCTCCTGGTGATGGAGGTCCAGCGGAGGTTCAGAGCCTCCCTCTGCCCCTGTGGTTGGCGATAGCCACTCAAGACTGAATTAATTGTTTTCGGCTTTTCTTGAGCACCTGCGTGGGTTTATAGCCAAGATGTGGTGTTTGTTTGCTTTGCGGTACGTAGGACCTCAGCATCGTCTGTGCAGGCCGGGGCTTTCCATCTCATGGTGTTGTCTTCGTTGCCACACCACCAGAGCTGTGATGTGCCGAGCTGCTGCTCCACACCGCTGAACAGACAGAGCAGAGCAATACCCCTCGCGTTCGAGAGGTGAAGGGAGGGAAGAGGGATGAAAAAGGTCAAATGAGTGCATGCCAAACCTTGATCCCTCGTCTCCAAGGCTGGTTTTGCATTTGTGATGCTCTCCTCTCTTACGGACTCGGTTAGGAAGTTGCTGATGCCTTTATAGACAATCTCAGCACCTAAAGAGTTAATGCCCCCTTCCCAGCTAATATCATACATGACCTGAGCATCTCTCTTAGCGACAGATTGATGCTATCTTCATTATCATGCTGCCTTTAATGAAGAGAGGAGGTCGTGCAGGGAATAGCCATCTCTCACTGATGCTATCTCGCCCAAGCACCCAGGAGGGCTTCTGTCTACCAAACGGTTTTGCCCCGGCCAGATCCAACCCTGAGCCTTGCCATCAGCATTCGCAGTACCATGTTGATGGGGCCCAAATTCGCCTGCTTTAAACCCACCCCGCCCTGTCCGAATTGTCTGCGGTGCAGATCCTGAAGCCTTTGACAAGCCTCCGTTTCTGAGCGATGCTTATCTGTGACGCAGAAGTGAAAGCACGCAGCTGCTGTTTTGCAAGAAAGTCGAGCCGGTGCCAAAGAAAGTGGGTCTCTCTGAAGAGAGCGTGTGTGCTTCTTCCCCCCTTCTTCTTGCCTGTGCTGCTGGGCTGAAGCTTCCACCAGCAAGCTGTGCTGGGCTCATCGGCATCCGAAAATCCGCCAGCGGCTGACTTCCCGGCCCCTCTGCCACCGTGGTCCGGTGACGCGGCTGTGCTTAACATCCAGGCTCTGTTCAGTAGCATTCCTGGAAACATGCGCATCCTTCCTTGCCTGCTTGCCTGCACTTCTGGAGAAGCCTGCCTGTACGGGCATCCCTAACCACTTGTATCTTGGGTTGGGGGAATTTGGAGATGCACTCAGCGATCAGAAGCAGCGTGACAGCCCCTCTGTCCCCTGTGCGACGCGGGGGATGTTGGTAACTCGCTCCTTCTGGCTCATCCCCTTTTACCTGCCCTTGCAGGGGGATTTCAAGTGTGACCAGCCAGCGCCTCCTGCCCGCTTTCTGCCCCCGCCGCAGAGCCTGCGTGGGCCCAGCAGCCCTTTTTGACTGGTGTGAGGTGG